AAAAATTCTAATCATTGGACAATGCCACAATATCCCAAGGTATACCTTTTTTTCAGAGATTAAAAATGTTTATACCCTACAACACTATGTGTTGGGACAAAAATTATTTAACACCTCTAAATATTGGTTTCCCACATAGGAAACTATATATGAATCTTCCTATCTTGCCGAGCTAAGTTGATCTATCTATGTATGTCCGGCCGTCCGTGAAAATGGAGGTGGGGTTAGGGTCAGAATAGAAGCCTATTGTTTTTGGAGATGATTGCAAAATATTTAGGTGTTGAAATGGACCAAAAAATTTTCCTGATTTTGCAGTTGTCTACAGGCGGCAATTATAAGCCAAACGACGCGGAAATTTACATGGAGTTAGTGTTTAGGACTGGGCAGAAGCTTACCAATTTGGCCATCGGACAATATTTAGCGGGTAAAGTAGACCCTAACTTTTATGTAAGAAAATATAAATATTTCCAGTAAACCATGAACATTTTAATCCCAGCCAAATCCCAGTCGAATCAAATACATTAAAAGGGCACTTGTGATTATTAAAAAGATGCTGATAGTTAAGAAATCGTATATATAGCAAAATAGGTACAATATATATTTGACTTACAATTTTGAATCTATGTACTTTTTCTAACAATAATCCGTTATCTAGACTTTGTTTCAATGTCTTATAATGTATAGCATATTCTTTTTTCGAAGCAAAGTCATGTATGTGAACAAAACGGCAAATAATTATGTCGTGGAGAGTTTTTGGATAGCGTAAGGTAAGCAGTAGCTGAATTTGGTTTGAATTTAATATCCTCAGGATTTGTAATCATTTCCTGCGGCTCCAACCACTTAAATTCTCCATGTGGGAGATATAGGTACAATCAATACCACAAAGTATTATTATTAATAGGGGAATATATATATATATATATATATATATATATATATATATATATATATATATATATATATATATATATATATATATAAAGATATATATATATATATATATATATATATATATATACATACATATATGTGAGGGTATATATATATATGAATGCGCCTTAATTGATTTTCATTCATCTAATTCTATACCCAATGTTGATTTCGATAATAATTTATTTCATATTGGAAAACAAATAATAGAGATCCCTATTGGTTCATACGATCATATGGCTGCCTATATTAAGACATCATATAGCAACGAAAATAAATTATTGCTAATAACAATACACTACAGCTTGAAGTATTTTCCTTCCACCCAATAAATTTTAACCAAAAACGTTCTATAAGTTCACTAATTGGGTTTATCGGTGGAAACTTATCGCCAGCATAATGCTCACATCTCCCTATCAATAAGTAACAGTAAGCGCTGTTCAAATTCAATGTAATATTACAACGGGAGCTTATATGAATAATACACCTGTGCATACTTTACATGAGTTCGGGATAAACGTTTCCCCTAGAAATAAAATGAATGAAATACCTAGTAACTTAATTTATTTAGCAGTGAATGTGAAAGAAATAAGTTCTCTCAAAATATAGATTACTGATCAAGAACAACGTCTAATAAATTTTCGAGGTGAAGAAATTGCTCTGCGACTGCATTTGAGACCTATAGCGAAATGATTATCTATAATAAATACTTAAAAAAGCAAACGAACAATTTTTGAAATCTATTAAATAATGCGTAAAAGAAAATATCTGAAATATTAAAATTTGAAGACACACCGTTCTCAAATGATAACATTATTAAAAAAGATTATCATAGTTACATGTCTTATATCCGTTCTTTAAAAAATAAAGATGAAATAATAATCACAATACAAAATCAAGATTTATGCGTTTTACCGAGCGAAAGTTACATTTACGTTAAAGGTCTAATTTCTTTTCTTTTTCTTTTCGTTCGTTCCCACGCCTCTCACACCCGCCCCTGCCGACCGAGGGGGCCACCTCCCTATACGTAGAGAGCGCGTACACACCAAAGTCCGGACTAAGGCGGGTTAGCAATGGTTTCGCACCGGCTACAGAAACTTCATCAGCCAGTAAATAAAATAACAAAAAATAACAGACACACACAGATTAGTAAACAAAGTTAACAAGGTACAGATTTTAAAAATTGCTGCTCATTGGCTGTGTCTACTGCACCGCAAAGGGAAATGTAGATCAAGTGCCAGATGATCAAGCAGCTTAGTAATTTATAACAGAATTTCAATCTACTGTTTACAACTATTACTCAAAGGCGAGTTCTACTAGTTCCGCTTGGGGAGATGTAGATAAGATGCCGTAAAATGAGTTTGGAAAATTAAGACAAAGACATGAAACAATTCACGAAATACTCATTAAACAAACAAAATTACATATGTAGAATATAGTTCTTTATTGTATTTAATGGATTACTTAAGCAAATAGTGTTAAATAAACTGTTATAAATAACACAAAGTGACCTCATAGGGTCGTTAAGCTCATAGTTAGTTCTCGCAAACGATAATTTTAAGGGTTCAAAATTACGAGTTCTGCGAGAAGGAACATTATAGTCTATTTCACCTATAAGAAATGGAGAATCAATGAGACCGCGTACTAATTTAATGATAAATAGTGCTCTTAACATAAGACGTCTTCTTTCAAGTGATGGGAGGTCAATTAACAATAACCGACTCTCATAAGGAGGAAGAGGTTCGGAAACGTTCCAGTTTAAACCAAGTAAAGCGAAAATTAAAAACTGAATTTGTACAGATTCAATTTTATCAGAGTAAAATTTATAAAATGGACTCCACAATATACAGCCATATTCTAATACTGGACGCACTAAGCTAACAAATAATCTTTTAGTTACGTAAGGATCATCAAACTCTTTAGACCAGCGCTTGATGAATCCTAGTAAAGATTTCGCTTTATTAACGCAAGAATCAATATGCAAATGAAACCGAAGCTTAGGATCTAATATTACGCCTAAATCAACAAACGAATCAACATTATCCAATTTGTGGGAGCCAATAAAGTAATTAGATAATAAAGGTTGGGATCGAAAGAAAGACAACTTTTTGCATTTTTTTAGATTAAGGGTCATACCATTTGCACTACACCAGTTTACGAGTGAGTATAAATCATATTGCAAAGAGATTTGATCGCTAAGTGAATTTGTGTGAAGAAAAAGCTTCACATCATCAGCGTACATTAAAATTTTGGAAAAACGAACTACGTTTGGAAGGTCATTAAGGTAAAGAACAAACAGTAATGGGCCCAAGTGACTTCCCTGGGGGACACCTGATGAAACAATGATGTTCTTCGAAGAGACATCATTAAAAATAACTCTTTGTGTACGATCATGTAAGTAGGAGGATATCCAGTTTAAGAGTGATGTTGGGAAACCCATTAAGTCTAGTTTTTGAAGCAAGAGTTTATGAACTACCGTATCAAAAGCTTTGCTAAAATCAGTGTAAATAACGTCAGTCTGTTGCTTATTCACAAAGCCTTTATGAACATGACAAGCAAATTCTAATAGATTAGTAATTGTAGATCTACCTTTCATGAAACCGTGTTGACAAGGTGAAATTATGCTTTTTATGTAGTGTAATATTCTTCGTGATACCAAAAGTTCGAAGAGTTTAGGAATGGCGCTTAATTTAGCGATACATCTATAATTACTGATGACACTCCTATTTCCTGATTTATGCAGGGGAATAACAAAACTCGATCGCCAAAAGCATGGGAAATATCCTTTAGATAGGGAGAAATTAAACATTTTAGTGAGAGGTACAGAAATTTCACTAGCACAAGATTTTAAAATGTACGTTGGAACGCCGTCAGGGCCTGGAGAGAATGAGGAGCGTAGTGTTCTTAACCCATAGAAAACTTCGTCATCTGTCAGGATAATACGGGGAAAATGATTTAATTTCTCAATATTATAGCTGTAAGAACCATTAAAAGTATTCTGGCTATAAGAAGATTGAAAGAACTCAGCAAATAAATTAGAAATCACTAAGTTGTCAGAAGATTCACTACTGCCAAGTTTCATACTGCTGGGAAATTTATGTGCTTTCTTTTTGGAATTTACAAATTTAAAAAAGTTTTTGGGATTATGTAGCAAGTTTTGTTTCATTTTTATTAAATATTGGGAATAACATTTGCAGTTTTCAGAGTTGTATCTATTCCTTGCGGAAGAATACTAGAATACACATAAGTCAATGTCATCACTTAGATGCCATACAGTGTTAGATAAAATAGAGCGCAGTTTAATAAGGTTTGTTTTCCCAAAGTTACGCCTATCAATAGAAGCATTAACATATTTAGAATTCAGGGAAGCGTTTCTTAATTCGAGGTCTATCGAAAGTGTAGGGTGATAACTGTCTTCAGGGAGTACATAGGGAGAGCATTTAGAAATCGAAATATTCAATGAAGACGAAAAAATTAAGTCTAACAGCCTGTCTTTAACATTTAATACATGGTTTACTTGGTACAGACAAAGCTCAAATATCTTATCCCAAAGATATCAAAACCTGTTGGGTAAGTCAGAGGTATGTAATCAAGAATATTTTCACCTGAGGTCCAAGATACCCAAGGAAGGTTAAAATCCCCTAAACAAATTAATGCAGTATTATCTGTAAGCAACGAAGACACCTTTGCAAATAAATCTGCATGATTAAGATAAATTTCAAGTTCAGAATTAGGTGAAATATATGAACAAGTTAAGAAAATGGTATTACCAATGATATTTAATTTTGCGCAGATAAATTCAATATTAGGATCCGCTGAGACATCAATCATTTCTGAAGGAATCGAGTTATGAACTGCTATTAGAACACCACCACCTTTTTTCGATAATCTATCTTTTCTGTAGACTTGATAATTATCAGAGAATAACTCAGTGTCCAGGACATCAGGTTTTAACCACGTTTCAGTGAAAGCAATTATTTTATATTCAGAAAAGAAACTTTTAAGGAAAACATCTCTAAGCTTAGTGTTTAATCCTCTTACATTTTGATAAAGAATCGGACAGACGTCATTTAGTTTTTTGGCGCAGTTACGATGTTTACAGACTTATCTACATTGGAGCGTTCTCTAAAAACAAATTCTTTTACCAAAATATCATCGGGCCAAAACGAACTACTAACAACAGTGTTAAAAAGTCTATTAGGAACTGTTATTTTAAACGACGAGATGTCGCGCTCCTGGGACGATTTAAATTTAAAGATGTTTAAATCATTATCGCTAACGTCACGTAACTTAGATTTCATATAATTACGGATATTAACGATAGATGTTTCAGGATGAAGTCTGGATATAAAAACTGTTTTGCGACGTGCAACAACAACAAGCTGATTAGAAGATGAAGGATCATCAGCATTAACAGCAGCCGAAGGGTTTGGAGGAACTTGCACCACAATTGCAGGTGGGTTAGAAAAAGCTCTTTTGGAAGTCGTACAATTCGAGATTGAGGTTGTAGCGTTGGTAGTAACACCCGAGTCTTTACGATTATCATGAGAAACTGGTTTATTACTATTAGGAGGAGGATTTGGCGAAGTCGGAGAATTTAAGGTGATTAAATTATCGAGACCCAAATTGTTTGTTTCGATATTGCTAACAACACCTGAAGCTTTTTTCCTCTTTGGTGAACCATCAGATAATTCAAACCTGTTAACCAATTTTTCAATTTTTTCAAATTTTTTAAAAGTTAAATTAAACCTTTTTTTAACTTATCGATTTCAGCCTTAGTTTCTTTAAAAAGGCAATGATAATCAACTTGAAGATCTCTACAATCAAAACAAGAGCAACGAAGACCTTTAGTCTTGTCAGTATTAAAATCATACTGTCTACCATTAAAACCAGCACATTTAAGATGCATAAAATTATCGCAAATAAAACAAGAAATAAGACGCTCATTGATGTCTCTAACTGAACAGTCTTTGAAAGAGCAAGCCATTATGTAAAATAACAAGTTAGATGAAAATACTAGTTAAATAATTTTTTATATGAAATAAGAAGGTAAACTGTGTAATGTGAACACGGTGTAATAATCAATATATTATTAGTGCCTAAAAGTATGCTAAAAATCTATTATTACGTACAGAACTGCTAAAGGGGAATCAGCTACAAATGTCAACACAAACAAAACACACGACGAAAATAAAACAAAAATGTAAAAGCACAATAAAACAAAACACTGATGTTTTACGCGGAAAATTTTAGATAAACTTATTAAGCAGGAAAAAACACTTTATTCACAAAAACTTCACACTTTTGGAAAAAAGATAAATAGTGTTAAATTAAATACCACAATTTAACACTTTTATGACGCTTTAAACACACAAAAAATTGAATTTTTATTTCGTTAGACGAAGACACAGAAAATAAACACTTTCAATCGAGCAGAGTTGCCAGATTTTTAATCTACATTATCAACTGGAGAAATTACAGCAAACGCTAGCTTACGCAACAACTGCATTGCATTCTTTTTTTGTTCGATTGTTCCCAACGCCTCACATTCCCGCCCCTGCCGACCGAGAGGGCCACCTCCCCATAACGTAGGGAGCACGTACACCCCATAGTCCGGATTATAGGGGGTTAGTAGACTTGGGAAACTGGCTACATGAGAACATCAGCCGGTATAACAATTAAAAAGAATTAAAGTATCTAAACTAAACTACAGTAAATCTAAACAATACAAAATCACAGAAAATAAGTCTGGCAACTATTTTATAAACTAAGAACGTATAAACTCATTGGTTCTATTTTTTCTATGGACAGTCAAAATTTTGGTAAATCGACATTTTCACAAAAGTCTGTAAAAATGCTCGGAATAGTGCAATTAGCAAATAAATGCATTAAATATCGTTCTGACAATGGCGTATGCAATTCTGCATCATCCATTCTGCTATAAACTCATTGGTTCTATACACTTCGGAGAGGATTATTTACTTCATAGTTCGATTTTGCTAATGTTAGTTTAAGTGGTATGTAATAACGCGTATTTCGCGAGGGGACATTGAATTTAGTTTCACCAGTTAAAAACTCTGAATCAATTTGGCCACGCAAAAGTTTGATGATAAAAATACATCTAAGCATTCTCTAGTGTAGGAAGATCGATAAGTTTAAGCCGATTCTCATAAGGTGGGAGAAGTTCATTTGAATTCCATCCTAAACCTCTCAGAGCAAACAAAAGAAATTGGACCTGTACAGACTCTATCTTTTTTGAATATATTTTATAGAAAGGACTCCAAAGTACGCAGCCATATTCTAACGTAGGTCGAACAAGGCTGATAAATAAGCGTTTGGTGACATAAGGATCGTCGAATTCCTTAGACCAACGTTTTATAAATCCTAGTAAAGACTTTGCTTTATGAACACAAGACTCAATATGTAAATTAAAACGTAATTTATTGTCTAATATGACATTATCCAATTTGTAAGAACCTATGAAATAGTTGTAGTTCATATGCAGAGATCTATATAAGGACAATTTTTTAATTTTTTTTAAATCTAATGACATTCCATTGACACTACACCAATGTGCAAGAGAATACAGGCCCTGTTGCAGATTAAGCGATACGTTGTGAAAATTAAGAGTGCAGAAAAGTTTAACATCGTAAGCAAACATTAATATTTTTGAGTCGCGAATAGTAGATGGAAGGTCATTTAAATAAAGTACAGAAAGTAGTGGACCTAAATGGCTACCCTGAGGAACACCAGAAAATACTGTAATATTTTTAGAGAGAGTATTATTAAAAGATACCTTTTGGGTACGGTCATGCAAATAAGACGATATCCATTTTAGGAGAATTGTAGAGAAACCCATTAAGCCAAGTTTATATATTAACAAATTATGCACCACCGTACGGAAAGCTTTACTGAAATCAGTATATATACTATCAGTTTGGAGATTTTTTAAGAATCCAGTGTTAACATTAGAGACCAGTTCTAATAAATTTGTCAAAGTTGATCTTCCTTTAAGAAAACCATGCTGGTGTGGTGATACTATAGATGTAACGAAATGAGTTATTCGTTGTGTAACCAAACGCTCAAAAAGTTTGGGAATTCCACTTGGTTTTGCAATGCCCCTATAATTTTCAATAACACATCTACTGTCAGCTTTATGCAATGGAATAATAAAGCTCGAACGTCAAATAAAAGGAAAATACCCTAGGGTTAACGAAGTATTAAAAATACTTGTTAGAGGAAGATATAGTTCATGTGGACATAATTTTTAAATGAAAGACGGTACACCATCTGGACCCTGTGAATTTGAACATTTCAATGAAAGTAGACCTTTCAACACTTCATCTGATGTGAGAATAATATGATTAAAATGATTAAGTTTATTAATACTATAAGAGTATTTTACACCCTTAGTGGAATGTCTGGAATACGTACTTTGAAAAAAATCTGCAAACATATCTGCTATTTACTTAGGTTCACACGACTCTCTACTACCGAATCGCATACTACTGGGAAATTCACGGACTTTTCTTTTTGAATTAACGAATTTATAACAGTTCTTAGGATTTTTATAGAAGCTGTTTCTCATCTTGACTAGGTATTCAGAGTAACATTTAGAATTTTCAGTGTTGTATAAACTTCTAGCTTTTGTATAATTAGTAAAGTTTATGGTAGAATTGATTTTTTTAAATTTTTTAAATAACCTGCTTTTTATGTTACGCAAGCGCCTAAGTTGTGGGGTAAACCAAACTGGACCCCTATCACAGCACATTTTTACAAGCGGGACTGAGGTTTCTAATGCATTGTTAATAATTTCATAAAAGCTGAAATACAAAAATCCAAATTGCCTTCAAAACACCAATTTATATTGGACAAACAAATTCAATCTTAGGGTGTTCTGTAACAAAAATATGTTCTGAGGCAATGGAATTATGAACGGCAATGAAAACTCCTCTACCCATTTTATTTAATCTGTCTTTTCTGTAAATTTGGTACTGATCAGATAAAATCTCAGTGTCACGAATTTGTGGTTTTAACCATGTTTCCGTGAATACCAAAATTTTGAAATCACAGTCACAGGATTTTAAATAAATATTTCTAAGTTTAGTATTAAGACCTCTCACGTTTTGATAAAGAAGATATAGAGATTTAGTTAGTTTTTTGACAGTGCATCGAAAGATTAACTGGTAAATTAACGGGGTTTGTTCTTTATTTGATGAAATCCGAAATGAACTCAATGATATTGAAATGGATCGTACACGTAATTTAGGAGCACCGAGCACCATAAAAAATTTCGCATCTCTATTAAAATTCTATTGGGGTTTGCAGAAAATTATCATGTATCATGTAACAGTATAATTTGAAACTAATGCCCAAATACCTGCAGGTGTATCTATATATCTATATTTTTTTTTTTTAATTTATAATCATCATCATTAATATATATTCATTATACTTCCTATTTTGTAAATATATAAACATGTTATAATTATAAAATAAAACACTGTGATATATTTTTAAAAAAATTCGTTACTGTTTTATTTATTTTTATAATAGGTAGTGTTAACCGTATATTAACTTCTACTCTAATGTATTATATTGTATTTAATTTTTGAAGTAGTCTATGAGATTTTATATTTATTTCATTTATAATAGTAATACATGAAATAATTTGTATGTATATAATAGACAAAATTTGTTTGCCATTCTTCAAGCCAAGAATTTAGATATAGAAAATTCGTTCACTACCCTAAGGAATGAAATAAGAGGTACCAATTCGAATATTCATAATGCGGCACCAACTGCTAACCCTGGTGAAGCAACATTTTCAAGACAATTGCCTTCAGGAAACAGTGCGGTTACTGGCAGTCCTTCGAATATATCACAAAATAACCCCTGTCGTCAGAAAAACATATATCCCTTACCGAAGTTCGCAGGGCTCGCGGAGGATTGGCCAACTTTCAATGAGTCATTCAAAACCTCAACTACTGAATTCGAGTATTCAGACCTTCATAACATTATGCGCCTTCGAGAGGCTCTCGAAGGGGAGGCAAAATAAACCGTCGATCCCCTTTTATCCAACGCGAATAACGTAAGTTCATAGGACATATTAGGGGAAACTTTTGGTCGCCCGGAACAGTTGATAAAATCACAAATAAACAAGATCCGGTCACTTCACCCAATTGACGAATCTGATTTGAATGCATTAGCCACGTTTGCAAACAAAGTAACTAACATGGTTACTTTTATAGATGCTGTAGAGGGAAATCATCATCTTGTAAACCCTATGTTATTAAGTGAATTGATATTGAAACTTCCCACTGCTAGGCGATTGCAGGGGCCAACAAGTCGTTAGAACTAGGTAGAATGGCAACGATTCATGACTTTTCCCTTTGGTTGAACGATATAAGGAAAGCAATAAATATGGTTACTGATTTTCTCCCAACCACCGAACCATCAAGTCAATATGCTTGTGTATCTGTTGAGAGTGTCGCATGTATTATATGTCAAAGGAAATGTAAATCTGTGGCGACCTGTAATTACTTTATAAAGCTCTCACCTAGTCTACGATGGGAAAAAGTGAAGTCCCTCAAATTATGTTTTTCCTATTTGAAACGAGGCCATCGCTCTATTAACTGCAGTCAGAAAATACCGTGTGGTCGCCATTTGTGTGAAAGGTATCATCACCGACTATTGCA